CCATTGCTATTTTATTATGTTTGGTTCCATTGCTATTTTATTATGTTTGGTTCCATTGCTATTTTATTATGTTTGGTTCCATTGCTATTTTGATACGTTTATTCCCATTTTTATTTTAACACTGTAGGGGTCCATTGTTATTTTGATAATGTTTGTTTACATTGGTATTTAACAGTGATTGTTTCTACTGCTATTTTAATATGAGCAGTCTTATTAATATATATATATCCCCCTCCCCTATACAATGGCTCAGCGGTAAGCTTTAGGTTTATAACTCTAACAATCGGGTTTCAATCAATACAAATGACACTGCGCAGATAGCCAGCCCATTGTACAGTTTTGCTCTTAAACCAAGCAAAGAAACTTAGCATTCAGAAATCTACATTATTTTTTGTGTCCTTCAAGACAGTTTCGTAAGAAACTATGAATGTCACGTGCCAAATAAAAAGTATTTCTGTAGTATACTTTTTATTATTCATTTCAAGTAGCACTTAGTGATGACAAACAACGTAAAATATTTGTAAATTATAAACAAACGGTCGAATGCTTATGGAACGAACTTGCTACGCAATGAATATGTAATGCCTGATGTTTCAGAAACTACGTCTTATTTAAACTTGGTCTATTGCCAAGTTTGTAATATAGGTCTACCATATTTTCACAATGAGACTTTGGCAGTTGAATTCTCGATATTCAATTACACTAACTGGCTACTTTAAATGCATGACTTCAGACCTCTATGTTTATTTGCACATACAAAATAAAGCGACTCTGTGATGTATTAGGCAACAGCTGGAGCCCCATAAGTGCGGAGGGAGCTTTTACTGAAACAGGACGCGAACTACGAGCCTTCGAATTCACAATCTGAGCATCTTAACTATTAGGCCATGCTTGGTTCTTAGAGAAAGTGGAGTTAAGCTTGGTTGCGTGAAAAATATGTGGATTAACTTCGTTTGTGGATAAGATATCTTGTTCCCCAATGGATCAGCGGTAAGTTTGGTAAAATTAGTTGTTCCGTGGTGGACATAGCACTGGTACACCATTATGTAGTTTGAACTAAAACAACACCGACAACTGCCAAGAATCCTTTAAGGAAAATTTGGTTTCAACTTCTGTGCAATAAAACACACGAGCAACTTAATTTGTGTAAATAACTTACCGAGTTTATACGACATTAAGTAACGTAGAACAATACCATAAAAACAAAAAACTGAAGTTTAAGTTGATAGTCTGACTGGTGCTAATAATATGTGAAATAAATTATTAGTCTAATCTGATTAGCGGATAAAACCTACCAAGTAGATAAAAGCTTTCCAGTCTGATTGTTGCCAAGAGCCTGTTATAGTCAATTACTTGATCACTAATTGGTGTTGAAATACTGCGGATTAATTATTACTTTACTATATTGAAAAGAGAAAAAATATATATATTTTTATTGGTGCAAATAATTTGTAAATTAAATAACCTTTCAGATCCGATTACTGCCGAAAATCTGAAATATGCAGCAAACCCTGAGTGATGCTGTCAACGTCAGTTTATATTAAATGTGTGTATGTACATATATTAGGTCGTCAAGAAATTAATTCCGCTTTTCTTTTAGATGAAAAACCCAAACAACTTATATATTAAAACAAAACATTTAATAAATGAATTAGTCTCCATTTTTATCGATAATGCTTTTCCATCTTACAATCAGGTTGTTAGTGCTCTGATTAAAGAAATCACTTGGTTTTGAAGCAAAAAAACATGTCGATGTCTTCTTTAACACCTTCCACATTTGCATGCGTTTTCCCATTAAGATGGTGTTGCAGCGAACGAAAAAGATGGTAATCTGATGGTGCCATATCTGGATAATATGGTGGATGGGGGAGAACTTCCCAACCCAACTCCATAATCTTGTATTGCGTCAAACGTATCACACGTGGACGTTCATTGTCGTGGAGAAGAACACCTTTCCAATTGACGAGTGAAGGGCGTTTCTGATGAAGGGCTTGATTTAAACGTTCCAGTTACTAACGATAGATCTCTGCATTGACAGTTCGCTGTAGATTGAGGAGTTCAAAATGAATTATTCCT